GAGCTAACGCCTCGAAATCGTCTGTTATCCAGGACGGCCAGCTGTCCGGGGAGAGACTGCCTGATGGGGTGCCCATGGCTTTTATTATGGCCTCGCCGGGGTTGAAGGTGAACAACACAGTGCGGTCGGAACAGTCGACGATCTCGTTTTTGGTTGATGTGGCATTGGTGGTCTCGTCTGATATGTATGTCTCCTGGTACCCGGTACAGTAGGACATGGTGTATATGGAGAAGTAATCGGGGGCGCCTTGTCCACCAGCTCCTCCTGTGTGTAACTTGAAGAGGGCATCAGTGCTGTAGGGTGGAATTGGTAATATTGTTTACTTACGGTTAGAAGGTCTGCCTACGGTAGAAACTGGCGTTGACTGCCGGCAAAGAGAGAGAGAATGCCTAGCAAGAAGGCAACGCAGGAGCCGATGCCAGGCAGGAAGATCTGGAGGCAGCCCATGGTAGTGTCGTGTCCGGTTGACTCTCTCTTAGGCTAGTATACTAGTGACTATAAGGGTGAATATGATCGCAGATCTCCCTCTGCTGGGTCAATAAAGCATCGACAAGTCTTTTCATGAGGCAAGAAACACGAGGTAAAGCACGAGTCATGCTTCAGAGTAAGGTGACACTGCAGGAAAAGAAGATCTTATACACCGTAGATAGCTGGTGTGTAGTCTTGCATACTATACTATAGACTATTATCCACTGCCGTCTTTGGCTCCCAGCCACCGGATTCTGGGAATGTTTAGCCATGCCTCTACCCTTGTTTCAGAGGACGAAAGCGCATCATCAGTGAGCTAAAACCTTGGTAAGTGCAGCCGTATACGGGTAGGCGCTGCGTAGAGTCTTCATTAAAGGGAGTGAAAGGTCTCCGGATCCATACCAAGCCACGCAATTTGTAATTCTGCGTGATGAGGTTGATGGGCCTATGATCAATTATCCAGAAACGCATATTGCGTTTGATTCCGCTCCTAGTGCTGAATTGAGAGGTGATCAGCACTGGCTATATTTCGATTTGTCCCAAGTCCCGATCTAATGGTACATTAGTATTCCTTTTTTCAGTGAATGGGTCACAAGACCGTTAAAGAGAGTAGAAGGTTACTCCCGAAGCCAGCCGAGAAGCATGGAAAGCTTATCCTGGGGTAATTACCCGGGAGCTACATTCCCTGCACCACTGATTGGTATGCGAGAAGCACCCAAGTGCCTGGAAACTTCATATAATCTCACGTTACACAGAAATTCTCCAGATGGAGCCCAAGTATGTTGTTACAGAGTGAGAAACAGGTTCCGACGATTCATAACGTCGTTTGTGTGGTCGGTTTAAACTTCCGAGTCGATAATGTTTCAGAGGTGGATTCCAGCAAAGCTGGTGACAGAGTTCTAGATAGACCGTACTTGGGGGTCATGCTGTTCGCTCAGTCGAGGCCATTTCTGAGACCATCAGACAACGATTTCTGGATTATGAGCGCATAGATGGCTTTGGTAGTCAATGCAGAATTGGAGCGTCAGCCCCTAGGTCTTACATTCTTTGGTTTCTGTAAAACAGGTTTTCAGAGTTCGGATGTGATTATAAATATGTGATCTAGTCTATTTGTGTCTATCTTAAGTATATATCTACAGCAAAGCCCAGGATTAAAGCTATTTACCTACGCCTCCTTGATATCGTCTTCAACAGGCGGCATCAAATCCATCACAGGGGCCAATTTACTCTTCTGCCGAAGACGGCCACCAAAGAGGTAGAACATTAACGGGATGGGAATCATCACCACGGCAATGCAACCAAGCAGTGTACCGGCCCATTGAATGCCCAGATTGTTGAACATTTGTCGCGTGAAGAGAGGAAAGACGGCACCCACCATGGATCGCATCATGGTATTGGCCGCAAACGCAGATGCCGCACTGCTTCGTTAGCATGTCATCCAAGGGTCGTCAGATAGGGAGGTATAATGATGTACTCACAATTTTGAGTATGTGTCCAGAATATAGTTGAAGCACTGCATAAAGATGGAAGTCAAGCCAAAGCCAACAGCCACACCAGCAGCCGTGGGTGCCATCCAATGAATGTTACTGTTCCATCCAGTCCAACCGAACCTGTATCGCTTATCAGTATTTCCACCGGGTCCGACGTCTTACATCGCATGGGGACAATCATACCAGAACAGCCCACCAGCAAACACAGCACCACCCACGATGCAAGGAGGCAGACGCCATTCGGGTACCGCGACGTAATTGTTAGCGGCCAACTTCCGCGAATATTGTCCTGACAAAGACAGAACAAATGTGCTGCCCGCGATCTCACCGATGATGAGCCCAATGAAGGGCAACCCTGCAGTACCACCGGTCATGCCATAAGTACCTTCGAAGATGATAGGATAAGCTTCCAGCAGCGCATAGGCCAATCCGTAGATGAAGGACATGTAGAGCGTGAGCAGAAACGCAATGGGTTCAGTGAACAGAATGAGGAACGGACGCGCCAGATTCTTGGTAACCAATTCTTTAAAATCAATCTCCAGTTCGTCCTGGCGAGCGTGAATGCCCCAATTCCGTGTCTGGCGTCGGAGAATGGCTGCCTTTTGAACCAGGATGATTGGGGCATAGGTCTCTGTAGTGAAGAACACTATCAATGCGAGACAGAAGAACCCAACTATGGCAGGGACGTACAGCGTCCATCGCCAGCCGAGATAGCTTGACGCGGTGTATCCACCAATGAATGGGGCTGTGAAAGGACCGGTGAACACCGACATAGTGTACATGGCAATAGCGACACCTCGTTGGTGGTTGTTGAACACGTCAGACAGGCTAGCAGGCACCAGAGCAATGATACTGGCCGCACAGAAACCCGCGAAGAAACGGCACAGCATCAGGGTTTGGGTATCCTTGGCGGTGGCAGTGGCTATCATGAAGAGGTCGAAGCCGAACATCCCGAGCAACAACGGCCATCGCCGGCCAAGCAACTCGGAACAAGGTGCCCACACTGTTGGGCCGGCCGAAAACCCTAGGACATACAGAGTCGTTCCAAGAGCCGCGACCTCTTCACCAAAACCGAACTCTTTCTCAGCACCTGAAGCCGCGGTTGCAAACACCGCACTGCCGTAAGCAGTCACTAGGGCACAGGAGGTGAGAAGTGATCCAAGCATGACCCTATATGGCATCAGCAACCGTCAAGCTATAAAGTCCGGCAGGTGAGCTGTATTGCATTACCTCTTCTTCATGGGCCAGTTGTGGGGATGCATCGGATCATCCGCGCCTTCGAACTCGACCACATATGCCTCAGAGTCCGGTAGAGGCGGGGGATACGGCTTGCCTGCCCCAATAGGCAACCATTGGTCTTGCGGTATGCGACTTCCTCGAGATCCAACAGTCAGTTGTTGCTGGAGACGATAGGTGTTGATTCGCTCGAGCTCGATGCTGTCATCGCCGGGTGGTCCGCCCCGCGAGTAGTGGCGGCGGGATAGGGAGATACCGTCCGCTATGGACGAGTCGTCGTCTCCGGCTCGGTCTGCATCATGGAGTCGACCCATGACCACGAATCACCTTCTACACTTCGGAGGGTGGGCAAACCGAGAGGCTTGAAATGGTCAAAGGAAGGAGGTCAGCTACCGAACACGGGGTTCATACATGGTATTACTATTAAATAAATTTGACTATGGGCTTAGTTGGCCCCAAAAAAGCCCTGCAAATTTTCGCTGCTCATTTTTCTTTCTTTCACCCAGCTTTGGGCGGAAACCAAATGCTCTAGGTGGGTCATCAAGGAAGAGCATCGGCCACTCAGCCAGAAGCGTTAGATCCACCGTGTGGGTGGATAGAGGATTCCCTGGGGCTGTCCCGGATAAGACGGAGCAGCCATGGCGCTATGCATATACGAACTGGTATAAGCCTTGATAGCGGACCATCAGATCGGCTAGGTATCTATCAAACTGTGCGTGCATGGGTCATAGATGGTAGTATTCTGTGCCCGCCCGGGAAGTAAATCAGGCAACTTAAAATTCGGGCAGTGGCGTAGCCGAGAGAAGTGGTCGGGAAGTCAAACCGGGTCTCCAAGCCATGGATTAGGCTCTCCAGAATTCGGACGCATATAATATGGCGTTATCGAACATTCCCCGTCGTCGGGGACTAGTCCTATTGTACCGACGACTAGGAGAGTCGGGCCCAGCCCGAGACTTCTCGTCGGGATGGATTTCCGTCGCAGAAAAAAGATATCGGTGTGGAGGTAGGTATGAAAGACAAGACCAAGCCCAACCCATGCTTGCATTCTCGATGACTGTCTAGCAGTTACCTGTACATCTGGGTCATTGTCACTAAAGAGATCATCTGATGCCCACGTCAGACGGACAAATGGAATGTTGGGGGGAAAGTGCGACACGATTGATTTTTGTTGCGATGCCAGCCGGCAAAACATAAAAAGGGGGAGGAAGTGCGGAACGAGTTCCGCTTCCGACCGGCAATCGGCATCGCCCTGATTGTTAAAGTTGGAATAAATTCGCGTGGAGAGCAACTGGACACCTTTTCTTGTCCACTGCCTCTCAAGTAGGCCACATTGCTGGTGGAACATGAAGTCCCAAGTTGCGCACTCTGAGAAAAAAAAAAAAAAAAAAGAAATGCAATGAAATCACAAGCCCTCGTTGATTCGTGGGGGTTTTGATCACTAATTCACTTAGTTAACGACTAACAACGATTAACTAGTAGTTAAGTTGGTTGACTGGCTGACTCCAATCATGGCATCAGATCAAGAATGATCGAACGTGCGATTGGAAAGATGATGAGGGTGTAGGAACATGTCTGTGCGAATGATTTGATAGGGAGATAAAAGACAAGACAACTATTCTATTACCCCGCGGGGAATCCCAACCCCTCACCGGCCAGGAAATCAGATTCCGATCCATCCAGACAACAACAATAACCCGCCGGGTAATGATCCCACGTCTTCTTTATTTTATCTGTTGCTGTTCTCCCCGCATCTTTGGTGGTCCCAAATAAAGAAATAAAGAGTCTAGATCAACTAAGTGCGCCGATATGATTACTGGTCTCCATCACGTTAACATCCTCGTCCCGGAAGGCACCCTCGACCGGGCGGAGGAGTTCTACACAAACACCCTGGGTCTGCCATCAGCTCCTGTTCCCCATCTACAGAAAGGAACCCTTCTATGGTAGGCCATTGATGATGTCGCTTTGTAAGATGGGCCAGTCGTGGTTAATCTGCCGTAGGTTCAACCTCACGCCGGATGGCAGCCAGCAGATTCATGTAGCCTTTGGCTCCAACAGCGATTTGCATTCCGACCGTCACGCTTGCCTGAGAGTCGGGTCTCCGGACCATCTGTTGACCCTGCAGCAGCGCATCTGGGAACATCATCAGAGAGGGGGCGATGCTGCTCCCTTGCACGCTGATAAGCCGGGGGAGCAAAACTCGGGTAGGTTATCCTGCTCGCTTTTCGTTCACTTCTAGAAATGGTGTTTCCCTGGACCAACAAGGCTCTATTCTGCTGTACCGTTCGCATTGGTTTCATCTAGTGACCCGCTGACCTTGATTATCTCATTGTAGGTGCCCAGGGCATCGAATATCCGAGTCGGTTTTTTGCCAGAGACTTTGCGGGTAACCGGCTGGAATTTACCCTATGACACGAATAACTGAGATGAACCCTTCTGTTTGTTAGCAACATGATGATAAGTGAAAGATGGAGTTTCAATGGAACAATGAGCGTGCATCTCCAGAGTCTTGCAGTTGGCCTCTTCACTGTACGCCCATGTAGACTCCTCGACTCGATACCTGTGTGGGTAGCCTATTGTCGGCTATCAGAGATCTGATGAACGAATGCAAGACGAACTTTGGCCCAAGCGATATACCGATTTGCCTCCCAGTCAAGGCAAGGTCATGGCGGTGATACATCGAAGAGATGTACTTCATCACGATACAATGGTTTGTAATATTGCCCCGCGCCTGGTGAAGAACACACCTATTCGTCTCTCTCGTAAGGGGATGATGGATCGAGCGTAATGGGAGGATGATCTCAAAGGATTGGGGAATTGAGATTAATCCGGAAATCTTTCTGGTGAACTAGTACACCGCACGGGGGTCGACCAGAGTTGCTTTATATGTTAGCAGGTCTTCTCCGGAATAAGATTTATCAATGTTAGTCGTAGCTCAGCAGTACTATGATTCGATTTTCCGGCGTTGACGCCGCCCCTCGAGGGATCTGCAGTAGCAAGGCTTGGTAGGTGTAACGGAATAATTGGTTGCGGACAGCCCAGCGTGCTCCCTGTCACTGACACTGCCGACGGTGGAGCCTCGCTAAGGGTAGAGCGGGTACCGTACGTGAGCAACATCCTTGCGCTATTGCGCCATGGCCGCTACACACTACACGCCCGTCCCCACAAAGAGGGTCCGTGTGTCGATGCAGTTTATCTATTGCCAGGTACCCGGAGGGGCACGAGTAAAGTTCTTCGAGCTGCCACTACGGAGACGGCGAAAGAAAAAGGCACTCGAACCAGCCATGCGTGCTTCCTCCGAGCGATCCTCCACCAATGCCATGGCCAGAGACGATTCTGGCACAACACCGCCCACACCGCACGAGGAGCAGCCCTTGCTGCGTCCCGATGCTGAAGCCCTCTGGAAGCCTCCAGTAGGCTTTGTCTGGATTCAACTAGGTTGGTTGTTGCTTGATCCATGAAATGAGAGGCTAACACACTGCCAGCCATCATGTCGAATGTATTCCTGTCGGGTTTCGACGGCACCATCACTGCCTCAACCTATGCTGTGATCAGCTCCGAATTCAATGCAGCCAACACCGCCTCGTGGCTCACAACCTCCTACCTGATTACTAGTACCGCATTCCAGCCACTATATGGTCGCTTCTCAGACATTTTCGGACGCCGGACCTCCTTCTTTACAGCAACAATAACCTTCATGATCGGTTGCCTGGGTTGTGGAATTGCTAAGGATATCGTCACTCTGAATCTGATGAGAGCGCTAACTGGCATTGGCGGTGGAGGCTTGATGACAATGGGTATGCACTTGCAAATCTTTCCATTCTTGCTTGTCAATCCCCCAGATGGGAGGCTAATGTTGTTCAGCTACTATAATCAACTCGGATCTCATTCCTTTCCGCCGTCGCGGAATGTATCAGGCCGTACAGAACGTCCTGCATGGATTCGGGTCCATCTGCGGCGCATCGTTTGGAGGAACCATTGTCGACTCAGTGGGATGGCGCTGGTGCTTTCTATTACAAGTACCAGTCGGGTTTCTAGCTCTGGTTACGGGTCGTCTTGTTTTGAATCTTCCAACGCAAGACAAGTTTGCCAGTGAAGGCAGAAGTCTGCGGACAATATGGAAATATGTCGATTTGTCTGGAGCTTGTGCTCTGATTGTTGGACTTTCAACGCAGTTGGTTGGTCTTAGCTTGGGTGGAAATGAGCTCCCTTGGTCCAGCGTATGGGTGATCTTGTCATTCGTGGCCAGTATAGTGTCACTGGGCCTTTTCGTACTCATCGAAGCGAGGACAACTGCAATTCCATTAATCCCCCCTCGAATGTTGAAAGGCGTTCTGCCTGTTGCTACGCAGGTTGCCAATGTCTGTGTGGGAATGGCTGCCTATGCGGTGAGCGACCTTTTTGTCAGGTATCCCAGTTCACTGCTGACTGTCAAAGTTCCTTTTCACGCTTCCATTACTGTTTCAGGTAATCCTTTTGGATTCCCCTTCTAAAGCTGGTGCTCGACTTGCTGTACCATCTCTCGCTACCCCGATTGGTGGTGTGATCTCTGGCTACGTGATGTCGCGCTGGGGTAAATTGGCATACCTGGTCCGTACAGGCTCGTTTCTCATGTGCATTGGCAACATACTTGTGATGCTTCTTCAGTTCAACGACGCAGAGTGGAAGTACTACTTGGCCATGATCCCTGCCAGTCTTGGTCAAGGCATCACTTACCCAGGCATTCTGTTCACGTTCCTTGCCGCATTCGATCACGCCGGTATGGGCACCTTGCCGCCACTTCCTTTTTCTTCAATAGAGGGGAGCCTTGAATGAACAGTCAAACTGACTAACTTTGTCAGACCACGCCGTTTCAGCGTCCACCGTCTATTTGGTCCGTTCGATGGGTACGGTGTGGGGTGTCGCCATTACGTCCACTATCATCCAGAACACCTTGCGCTCAGGCCTCGCTGAGGCCTTGAGTGGAATACCTGACAAATGGAAAGTAACTCTCCTCCCTGTGGATTTACTAATATCCTGAAACAATGGCTGATCAGTATTATGCTACTCGCACAGGTTATCGACGACATCAGACATTCAGTGTCTGCCATCCATAGTCTGCCGCCAGAAATCCAGCTGGCTGCGCGGATGGTCTACTACCGGGGCATACGACTGTCGTTCTTGGCGTCAGCCTGTTTTGGATTCGTTGCTGCTACAGCGGCACTCTTCACTCGCGGAAAGGGCCTTCATCGCTCCAGCGAGGCGTAGATCACGCGTACGTCGCACACTGGCTAGCTTAAAAAAACAGGGCGTTTGGAACGCGGACCGTCCAGTACCTGGATGAGATGCGGGGCCGAAGTGGCGACTCTAGGGGAAGGTAGGTCTGGTGGACAAATGACCGCCAGCTTGAAGTTGGGGGACGCGGCTTCGCAAACCTAGAACTAGACAGATGTCAATTAGCTCACGAGAGAAGGGGTCAGGAGCTTCTTGTTTGAGACCACCCATACGGGATGGTCTTTTTGGACGTACCAGATAGCTGACTGGTTATGAAGGAGACGTCCAATCGCAGAAAAAGCAGACTTGAATAAATACACTCTTTTTGGATTCCAGTGCAATCGTGCCTTTTGATTACCCGCTACAGCTTTGAGTTCTAGATGTTCAATCTATCTTATGCGCCCAGCAGGATCCGTTCCGCAATGCGGAGAAAGCCCCGTCTACCGAGGAAAGCTACTCTGGGGCAGGTCCCATGTCATGGGTCACTGCAGCGAAACACCAATAGAAGCCATAGACGCCAAAATCTCTCTGCCTGGATATTGCGGGGAAGCTGCCATCCTGAGAGCCCTGGCGGCGAGTCTGGAGATATAGGGCAAGCTCCACGACGCTATAACATCGTTAGCCGCACTTTCCCCCGCACGATCGTCGACGATCACCTCCAGTTCATGAAAAATTCCGCCTTAGTTCCGCTATGGTAGACGTCCCTAACCTTAATCCGGGGATGGTCTCGCTTTTATCTCCCTCTTGGTTGGACGGGACGTGATAACAGGTCTCGGAATTCGATAAGCGTTCCGGGATATCTTGGGTATCAGTCATCAGTCATCCGTATCGGGCCTGGATGAATAAGTTGATTCAAGGAAAATCAGTCTCCACCGCTTTGATCTTATCGACCTGGGATGCCTATCGCAATCGGCGTTTACATCTGTCAAGGTCCCTTCTGGGGACGCGGAGCTAGGTCCATCATCGTAGGAAGGATTCATAAGATGGATGTTCCTCCACTTGAAGCATATTGTTTCCGCAGTGCCTCATCACACGGCAGTACAACATAAGAGGTCATGGATTCGGACAATACCAAGGTCTCCCCCCTCAAACCCGGGTATGCCGCATCGGCAGACCTCGAAGTCGACATGGACAAGGGGCAGGTTGCCCTTACGGGCATCCCGGACATGCACCTGAAGCGAAATTTCAGCATAGTCAGTATAATTGCCCTGGGGTACAACAATACGAATAGCTGGGTGGCCATAGCCACGAGCTTTGCTATCGCAATTCAGTCGGGCGGCGCAGTCTCCCTACTGTATGGCATTCTACTGGTCACTGCTGCCATGTTCTGTACGGGGGTGACCTTGGCAGAACTGGCCAGCGTGTACCCCACTGCTGGTGGCCAGTACCATTTTACTTCCATCCTGGCATCTAAGCGATGGAGCCGTGGCCTGTCTTACTTCAGTGGCATGGCTGCAGTGTTTGCATGGGTTACCCTTGGGGCCTCTATTGCGCTGGCCGGAACAGAGGCGCTCATGGCTATTGTCATCCGATGGCAGCCCTCATATGAAGCCCAAAGCTGGCACTATTTCCTAGTATACCAACTGCTGAACGCAGTCATGGTCACCTACAACATCTTCCTCACCAACAAGACTCTCTGGGTCTACAACCTAGGCTGTTAGTTAGCTCCCTTCCAATTCGCAGGAGACAAGACTAATACACTGCTTCTCCTCTTGCAGTCATCCTCTCCATTTCAACCTTCCTAGCTATTATCATAACCTGCCCGGTACGCTCTTCCGTACATATCAACACCTCGAACACATGGAGTCAGTTCGTCAACGGTTCAGGCGGCTGGCCGGACGGCGTCTCCTTCTTGACAGGACTCTCAACGCCTCAGTTCATGTTTTCCGGACTCGACGCCGCACTCCACCTTGCAGAGGAATGTCTCGAGCCGGCACGCATCGTACCAAAGGCGTTGCTTGCCACAGTGACAGTGGGGCTTTTGACGGGTTTCCCCTTTGCCATCGCCATCCTATACAGCTATGACAACATCGAAGCATCTCTAACCACCTCCACGGGGTACGTATACCACCAGTCCTGAGTAAGAAGATTTACTTACCAGAAACCGACAGATTTCCAATCTACTTCATCTGGGAAAAAGCCACTCACTCCCCGACAGCTGCGACAGTCTTCATGGCTGCACTATTTGTTGTCTCCTTCGTAGCACTCAACGCAGTCCATCAGACTGCCTCTCGACTTACATGGTCCTTTGCCCGCGATGACGCTCTATTCTTTTCCTCTTTTCTCTCCTCTATACACCCTACGCTCGGAGTCCCCGTTTGGGCCATTATCCTTGATGGTGCGGCCGTGCTTCTGGTCGGGATCGTCTATGTCTGCTCAACAACAGGTAAGCCTAAGCGTTTACTCCGACGATGATCCTCTACATAGGGTCTAACATATAAATAATAGCATTCAACGCCTTTATCAGCACCACTGTCGTGGTAGCGCAAATCTCCTACGCCATCCCAGCAATTCTTCTCCTCGTTAACGGGCGGAATCCGCATTACCTTCCTCCAGACCGCCCATTCAAAGTTCCTAATGTGCTAGGCTACGTTTGTAACGTTATCTGCATTATCTGGGCTTTTATCCTGACGATCTTCTTTTGCTTTCCGACGGAATTCCCCGTTACCGGAAGTAATATGAGTATGTGTTTCTTCATCTTTCCTACTATCTATCTCCTTCGTGATGAGAAGTATGCTAAACTAACACTTACAACCTGTTCAGACTACGCTTCAGTCGTGCTAGTCGTCATGTTAATCCTAGGGGTAGGGAACTGGTTTGCTTATGCGAAAAGACATTATCACGGGCCACGCTTGGATATCTAGTTTACTATCTTGTCCTTGATTTTACTGATGATTGATGAGACACAACAATTGCATTGATTTTTGTTCACTCTGGAGTACAATAGTAGACAGTACTTTGTCTTCGTAACCAAATGATTTCAGAGCCGATTCAGAATTATACAAACTCATCTATACTTCACTTCAATGTCTATCGCAACTCCCACTATAAAATATCTACTTGGAATTTCAAAGATTAATGGTAGCGACATACACACCGTCGGAACGGTTCCGAGCCCCAACCGTCCGGTAAGTGGGGAAGAGAGATCAGTGGATGGGTTTTGATGATTCGTTGGATAGTACTTCCCGGCCAATTTGATCCAATCGACTCTGATCAGATAAGTAGATAACGGTTTAGATCATCATTCCGTTTACTATTGCCGTGAGCACGGGGTAATTATCATTGCTTATCGGTCTCCAGGTGGAGAGGATTAAAGAATTAATGGGAGTGGCTAGATGTGCTCACAGACTCCTACCACAGGTGCATTTTATTACTATTTTTGGACTGGCACAACTGCGGGCATGATTTTCTGATTTGGTGGTCTTGATACCGCATTGCTAACCCGATACGGGCGCCGCTGCTTTGGTGGAGGTACTACTAATACTAATCGTTATGATTAGTATATATGGAAAATGGAATCGATAGTATAAAGGTTCCATAGTAATTATATGTGCCTGGTAATATTTATAACCAGGTTGGATACATTCTATACTAGTATACTATCAAGAGTTATAGAGAATGTTCAATTTAGTAGCAATGTATGTTTTAAGACTGTAGATAACTTTTATAGCCTATTAACTCCTATCTTTGCATTGCACCCTCCACACACCACCTCGGGCTCCTCTCCTATAGACTAGATATCAACACCGACATAGCACTTAGTATTGCAAGATCAACCCATCTCACATACTACTAAGAGTGTTAACATCACAAATACACGAACTGATCTTTTCCTGTTTCCAGCATCTCTCATAGAACAAATCTAGTAGGTATATCTTGACTACTTTCGTTTTCCACCTGTTAGATTCATGATGAGTTTCACTACCGTTCCCACTGCGAGAGTACTAACAGTCCTTATGGGCTCCCTTTTTATGATCAAATGAGGCTAATATTATGTCTCTACCTATAAAACTACAGTGCTCATCTCTTCGAAAGTTAAGGGCCGGAGCTCCTTAGCTAGTCACATCCAACTAAGCAGCTAGATTATTTACTAGCAGACAACCAGGATCATCACTGGCCCATCTGACCGAAATGCATCACTATCTCCGCATTACCCCTCCGGATAAGAATCCTCCATCCTTATCAGGTGAAGGAAACATTTGCTATTGGGAAGCTAAACCGATATGCAGCATTAATAACTCATTATGCAAGTCCACAACTCAGGCCTTGTGCAGATTGGCTTGGACCTCTTGGCTCAGATGGTGTATATCAATGGGACCATTCTCGGTTCGTAGGTGGCTAATTTACCCTAGGAATCGCACAATATGAGAGACACCATGGATTACGAAACGAAACACGATGATGGCGACAAGACGTATTCCGGATTACATCCGTCGATGTCCGTTGAAGAAGGTCAAGTCGATCATGGAGAGACAACAAATGATGGTCTCCATCGCACGCTCAGTCCACGTATGATCCATGTATGTACTGTATCACCAACTGTTCAATTGCAGGGAACCCCATCAGAGAAGCCGAGCATCATGAGTAACAAACAAAGGTCATCTCTCTCGGATCCAGCATTGGCAGTGGTCTCTTCATCACCACGGGTAAATCCCTAGCCCAAGGAGGTCCGGCTAATATGTTTCTGGCGTATCTTGTGGTTTGTGTCGGCGTATGGGCGAATCTGCAAACCTTGACGGAGATGACGATTGCTTTCCCGACATCAGGTAATTATATCGATTATGCGGATCGGTGGGTTGATCCAGCATTAGCCTTTGGGGCTGGATTTGCGGAATGGCTTGGTGAGTTGGCCAGCCGTGGCTCTTTACCTTGTTACGAAACCAGAGCTGTTACGATAGAGCTGACGAGCGTCACAACGCTACAGGGTGGACGTCGGTATTTGCATCCGAAGCCATGTTTGTAGTTACCCTGGTGAATTATTGGGCGGACGGGGTTGTGCCCGAGGCTGCTTTGCGTGAGTCTGCCACATGCTTTTGGCCTTTCTCTTCTGGAAAGACCGGCATTCAGCTTACCATAAATAATTACCATTTTCCTGGTACTTTGCCTTGGCGTATTTCTCTTGCCAACCAGCATCTTCGGATGGCTGGAATACATCGGATCCCTGGTCAAGATGTTCTTATTCCTTTTCGTTACAGCCATCTCTCTAGCTGTGATCGCAGGCGCGGGTCCGTCCGGATATGTTCGACATGGAAGCACCTGGACTGATTTGCCTATGTTCAAAAATGGCTTTGGGGTGACTGGCTACCCCTCCCAGATAAACATGTTCTTCGTGTTGAACTGACTCAACTATGCAGGGCTTCTCCACCGCTGCATTACTTGCCATCTGGGCCGTGGGAGACCAGGTCTTTATTGGCGTGATGGCCGGCGAGGCCGAATCTCCCCACTATTCCATGGCACGCTCGGCCAATTTTGTTCCTTGGCGCGTGGGGATTTTCTACCTTGTCTCGGTGGTATTAATCTCACTTGTAGTGGACTCTGATGATTCCCGGTTAATGAATGGCTCGAGCGTGGTCTCCTCGCCTTTCGTCATAGCGGCCCAAGATGCGGGTATCTCGGGGGTCCCGGACTTAATCAATGCCTGCATAATACTCGGCATTCTTGCCCTTGCTCTAGAGTGCATATACCTCCCATCACGAATCTTACGCACTATGTCGCTGCAGGGCTTGTTGCCAGTCTTCATTGCGAGAGTGGACAAAATAGGCCGTCCGAGATGGGCGCTCACATTCACGGCCGTTGCAGGTACGGTGTTGACATATCTGAGCTTGAGCGGTATGGATGGCCATGACCACAGACCTTTACCCCTACTGTCTTTGAAGCTGATTGGTAATCCCTGCAGCCGACGGCACCGAGGTTCTTAACTGGTTTATCTCGATCACCAGCGCGTCCTTCTTCACCAACTGGGCGATCATCGCCTTTTCCTCCTTCCGCTTCCGGGCGGCGATTAAAGCGCAAAGAAGCCAATTATTTGAAACCCCTTATGCATGGCGGTCTCTTTATTGGCCTCTGGCGCCAGTCATTAGTCTTTTCGTTTCGGCGTTGCTACTAGTTTGCCTTCTTTACACCAGCATCAAGCCAGTAGTGAGTCTCACTTCCTTGGAACTCTTATCAGGGCGAAGGCATATGCTATACATTCTGAGCCCACAGACCCAGCATATTGCTGATCACGTTCACTAGGGTGGGGGTGCTTTTACAGCATATAACTTCTTTTCAGCGACGATTGGTCTGATCGTTATTATGGTGTTCACCATTGGTTACAAGATTGTGCATAAAACGCCATGGAGGGATCCGGCAACTGCAGATCTTATCACGGGGCATCGGGAGCTGACTGCTGCGGAGTTGCGGTTTCTGGATGCATATTACGAGCGACCGCTGTGGTGGAGATTGGGGACATATCTACGAATATGTTGAACAAGTAACCAGTCTAGACAGGGCTTGGAGAAGTGAGTGATCTAGAATGATGAGATCATGCTCGGTGATGGGGGTTAGGGGACAGTAGGCTCGGCGATTTGACCAATCAGTTGTGCAGGACTCTCGTCCAACGCCGACGCCGAGGATGTATGAGTGGTCAAGTACAATCTCAAGACATCAACCTTGTTTCCACCAGTACTATGATACTGGGAATTCTCTCGAAGTGAAGATATGTTATCATCTTTGTCGTACATTCCAGATCATGTATTGCGGCGTCAAGTAAGATGTGTACCCCGCATCGTCTTATCGCATCTTATGAGTATCTCCAAATGCCAAGGCAGATCAGACCAGACAATGAACTGCCTATATGAGCAGTCAAGTAAGCCATCAACTTGAGGGTGTATTCTAAGTCAAACCACAGAGCATACCCATCCCCTCATTCAAGATAGAGACGATCAGTCATGTTCTTAAGCCACTTCAGCACCAGCTTAGTCTTAGTGCTACTGTTCTTGGCATGGCTCCTCAGAAAGAAATCAGAAGCCCAGAAGCATTCACAGGCAGAGAAGAAGACCACCAGCTCTTCTCTGGCAACTACGTCTCCCATCGAACCCCTCGACGACTTCCAATGGGACAAAACCGAGCCTCTAATCCTCCGACCTTTCAAACCTCGCTATCACATCACAATGGGCAAGTTAACCCATTCCATCCTCTAATCATCACCAGCACTAACCCACAACATCTCACCAAATCATATGACATACGCAACATCTAACTAACAAACAAAAAACAGGCATCGAGGGAGCAACCCTCTCCGAACTGATCCAAATCGACAAACACTACCTCTCCCGCATCACACTCCGCACGACACTAATCCAAGACAAACGAGCCTCTGTCCTCGGAGCCAGTCCTCGCTCCATCCCGGCCGTCAAAGAACTATACTCTTTTCTGATGAATGACTACCTGCCTCGACGGTACAGCACTATCTTCCAACGTATTTCTACTACGACTAGCACTTCATCATCAGCATCAGCATCAGCATCAGCACCCACCACCATGTTGAGAAACACAGTGACCGGCGAAACCATCCCCAGCACACCTCCAACTGACGCAGAAGAAGCCCTCGCTATCATCGGCAGGCAGGTCGAAGAGGATTTCCTTCTTCTTTTGCCACCACAATCCTCTTCCCTACGAGATGATGACAAAAAGGAAGGTACTAACAAGCAGATGACCCTGGAAGCCTTCATCGGCTGTTTTCCGAATGGGTTCAACTGGGCAGACAAGTTCCGCAGATCGCTGGCGAGTATTCATGTTCCGGTACCGGATTATACTACCAAGTTGAGGGCGAGTATGGATAGGTATCTGGAGAGGCTGAAGGTGGGGGAGTGTGTTAAGCGGGCGAATGTTTGTATTATTACTTTCCTTTTGCTCGTTCATTTGTTTCAACGATGGTTCCATGTCCTCTGCAATGCTGGAGGGTATATTGTGCTAACGTGATTCCCTTGCTTGATAGTGGACCGTGTCCGTGGATGGGGAGCTGCATGCTGCCAGCAGTATGCACTTGTATGAAGGGGAGGAAGTAGTCGAGTTGAAGGAGTTGGATGTGAATACGGTATGTCTTTGATTCCTTCTCTTCAGCTTCCTTTCCAAGGAAGGGCCACGGTAGAACGTGTTAAGTAATGAGAAATGGCATTGCAGGCACGATTACGCTGCGAAAGACAGATGCTATTCAGACTACCCATCTCACAAGCTGTTGTCTTCGTGGTCCGCACATATATGTACCCGTTGCAGGACGTCAAGAAAGAAGGCAATGGGCCGAGGTTAGTCGAGGCGATAGCAGGGTTGAAGGAGGGCAGTTCGCCGGGCTTCCACTTCTACAAGCGCGCAGCGGTGTGGCAGAGGGCTGTGAGTGAGTACTTACTGGATGGGGGAAACGAGGCAGCTGTCGCGGTATGACCTGCGATAGGGGAGTACGGTTGAAGCTTTTGAGTGTTGTCGTAGGACGGAGTTCGTGTTCTCAATGAGGTTAATCCAGAGCAATGGCCTTTCTTAGCTCTCACTGTATACATATTCCAAACTCGGATAGTAGACCCCTGAAAATGAGGTAGGTCTATGCACACGTATCACTGATATTAACAAATAGATAGATTCTTTGATTCGAAGCATTGGCCAAACGCTGCCAGAAAAGTGTATAATATATGATATCACATTTCACCCGTCGTATTTCCTGTTTGGAGAGTATTAAGCTGCGATAGGATCTGCTTTGTCAGGGCAGGAAGCATCTGGACTGAGCAAGGAATCGCCCTCGGAACAATGCATAGCTCAGATATCGGCAAATAGAGCCTACATCCACAGAAGAGTTTGCGGAAGGATACTGTAACATTATGCATGAGCTCACAACTCTCAAGGATTATCTGTCTCTCGATCCGAAGCTACCGCTTCCCCAAAAGAGTCATCTATCTATCACAATTCTTTCCTCCATTTACTTTGCGACATCTATTCCACCATGACGTTCCACTAGCAATTCCAAGAGCAGCGGTGTACAACTTAAAATATTAACTATTGTATGTCGTTGGGACATATATATGCAGTAATAGAAGCAATATCCTGTCCACGGAGTCTGGCGGTCAACAACATCAACAGATTGCATATAATCAGCACCATGGACGCCAGACAACTGATAAGTCACTATATAATATATGTATATACATATAAGTCACTCCCGATTATGTTCTCTGTATAAACACTATTTAATTTCACCTTTGTGCAACCTATCCCTGCTTTGAAACCATGGCCGATTACTATCAACCAGTCTCCAGATTATTCCTCCTAAGTATGACCCAAAACCTAATCCCCCAAATTCTAGCAATTACAACCCCAAAAAGCTCACCCCTGCGCTACTTGTGCATACCATTCATGATATGGATCTTCAGCTTGGTGCTTCACCCAGTCAAAAACCCATCGCATATAACATCTCTATTCGCTACCACCGCTTGGTTCAACATTCTCTCAGCCCTGGATCACCTGCTACTCAACCCCAAAGAAGCAGATGACTTTGTCGCCATCAGAGAGGGAACAAGCAAAGTTAAGAGCTTCTTCAATGGCTTACGAACCGCCCTGAAACAGCATCTTAATTCCCGGAAAATCAACACGCCCGAGGAAGCAAAGAACACGCCTCCCATGCCGGGATATTACACCCATGGGAATGGCAAGAATGCATCAAAGCGTATCTCCCGACACCGGTACCTGATCCGCGAGACGGCGATTGCGATGTGGCAATACCTGGTTCTGGATATTTCGACTTCACAAGCTGTCAAGACAGGCCTGAGCAAAAATGAACAGCAGCAGCAGCAGCAAAATACCAGTGTTGAAGGTTCCTGGGTAGAGCTATGCATAGAACAAATCATCGTGGCCGTAGCCGCTTGGTTCATTGTAGGACGCATTGTGATCAGCTTCACCTATCGTTTAGTGGCGGTAGTCAGTGTCGGCTTGAGGTTTGAAGCACCTGAAGAGTATCCACCGTTATTCAGTAAAATGGCTGATGCTTATACGTTACGGAATTTCTGGGGGTGGGTGGCTCTTTCATCTCTTTCTTTTCTAGAGAGAAAAAAAAAATATATATATATAATATATCATGTTGTATACATACTAACACCCATCTGAACAGAAAATTCTGGCATCAACTGCTCCGCATCAAGTTCACTGCCATAAGCAACTACATCACTCGTGATATTCTCGGTCTGGCTAAGTCGTCCTTCCTGGAACGATATACCCATGTGTTTTGTGTGTTTCTCCTATCGGGTATTCTACACCTTACTGCGGACGTGGTAGGGAATATACCGATGGGCGAGTCTGGCGCTATGGTGTTTTTCTTATCTTTTGTGTTAGGGTACATGATTGAAGATGGTGTCCAGGTCGTGTGGAGGAAAAGATTTCAGGGTTCATCAACCTCGGAAGCGGGTAGCACTAATAGTCAAAAGGAGCCAGAAATGTGGGAAAAGGTTCTTGGGTATATCTGGGTTTTGGCTTTTCTAACGGTCACATCGGCGGTGTATTTTGAGCCAGTGCGAAAGATGCCAGAGAGGCAACTGGCTCTGGTTCCTTGGAGTTTTGTGGAGGTTATTGGGCTTGAGATGATGGGGGCGTTGGTTGTTGTGGGTGGAGTGCTCTCGATGGTAGTTTTTAAGGTTGAGGTATGATATACTACATTGATGATGGAGTGTCTTTATTAGTAGAGAAAATGGAGGGATCAATACTACTGCTAGATCATCATAGTAATATGATGATACATAGTATAGCCTCTTAGCAATTGAGGTTAATATGTTCCATCTGCTACTTGCTCCTACTACTGCCAAGTACTGCGTGTGAATAGTATACTCAAGCGAGCAATCATGAAGCAGTTTTATACTAGCATTTGTCTCATCTCATGAATAAAATATTGCTGTCATTTTATCCCTCTACCCACTCAATCCGCGTGCACATCTATGATCACACTGACAGCTTTGTCTATATTCATCATGGTTTGCATAGATAGCTACCTACCCAGCAGAGAGAAGCATACCTCCCCCCGCTCACCTGCAGCCAAGCCCAAGGAAAATGGTCGATGCTCTATAAGGTATTTATAGGTGAAAAAGTTACGTCAGGTGCGAAAACCTCGATCTACTTACGTACAAGGAAAGAACGATCTACTCCTGCAGGGCCTCGTGGGTGTAGGCAGCGAGCCACTCAGCTGGGCCAGAAGCATCGGGACAGCGCATTAGTTATAAATGCTGCCTAGCCCAAACCCGCTCTGCCAGATTGAACGGTACCACCAATCGGAGAGACCGTTATTGGTTGGATTCTCCTGACGGTGGGCTTGGCTTTGGATTCAAGCTCAGACGGAAAGGGAACTAGAGTCGCAGGTGCCCCTAGCCATGACAGCTGCAGACTCTGCCAAGATGTCCAGGATTTTTCTTCATCAACGGTAAATGCTTCAAATGCAGTCTACACTGTGTATCTGTATCACATTGTGGGTGTACCATGCACAGATGATGGGACATTTCGGGATGATGGCAATTACTGGGGTAGCCAATGCAGTAAAAGGGGAAAAGTTCACAAGTCATCAATTAAGAAAAGCGCCATGAAGCAAAGAGGATGATTCACCTCCCTCCCCGTTCCAAGCACCACCCCGGGTTCCTAAACACATATATCCGGGATCACCATATTGAACAGAAAGGAGAATAGAAGAGGTAAAAAAAAGAAAAAAAAGAGCATTCCCATGGGGGCACGACGAAGGAAGACAACAGTAACGCGATGGGTAGATTAACAAGAAAATAGACAAAAACCGCGTAGCAACTGCAGCTGTCACAGCAGCGCTTCCCGGCGCCCCTGGACTCGACCGGTCTAGTGTAGCACGCGATGAAAGGGGAATTTATCGTATCGTCGAGGTCGTATATCGATCGTGAGAGCTCGGTTGGTCGCGCAGCCCTCGCTACATTCGAGGTAGCACCCGTAATCGATCACAGCTTAACACATTTCACAGCACTCGATGCACTCGAAGCAGCATTCGCAGGATTCCTCACACAGGAAGCAGCAGCAGAGCGTGGCCAGGCTAGATGGTAAAAACGGTCGGATTAGTAAGATGCGGTGCGACGAAATTCAGCAAGGGTGAGGCCTACCAGGCACCGAGACATCCGCGGTCCTTCTGCTGGGGAGGAGGCTGTTGCTGGTATTGCATCTGTTGTCCGGTCAGAGTCCGATCGCATGACTGCACATAACACTGGTATCACATACCGGAGGGTAGGGCTGCTGGGGGTATCCCTGGGGAGGATAACCACCCTGCGGAGGCGGATAGCCCTGGGGAGGGTACCTGTGCGGAGACCAAGTCAGAACAATGCGCAAATCCGGGGTATGATGTAAGTAGACATGGTGCGACCGCTGGCCAGCCCAGGAAGAAAAAGACCAGTGTCGAAAAGCTTGGTAACAAGCCAGTCTCAAGACGGGTTCCTGAACCAACACGCCGCGGTCGCTTTGAATCCGAATGGCCGGTGCAAAAACCACAAGAGATCGGGCGCAATGGAGGGCGGAAGACTTACGCCTGGGGCGGGGGAGGAGGGCCGTTGTAGTATCCGGGAGCGCTCATTGTGAAGGAAAAGAGTCTGTGTGTAGGAATAAAAGATAGGACTGGGTCAGCGTGGTGAACTTGGCAGTTGACAGTAGCGGATGGAAGAAAGAGAAAGAGGATGAGTGAGTGGACGGAGTGAGTGGACGGAGGACGGAAGCCCAGCCTTGCGTTGGCCAATAAAAGGGAAATAAGCGTACCTAAGACAACGCCGAGTTCTAAACGGAGTCGATGGAAAGCGGAAAGGTAAGAAAGGGGGGGAGAAGAGGAAGAGGGAAGAAGAGCAGGAAGAGGAACGATCGCTAGGGGTTGGAAAGGCGAAAGGAGGCGGAGAAAGAGGAGAAGATCGCTGAGCCGCCGTTCAGGTCTTTTAAGGTTTTGGTTGGTTGGATGAGAGAAAGGAAGAAAGACAGTCAGACAGTCAGACACAGACACACGAGAGAAGGGAAGACCACTTATTAAGAAAATTACACTCCATTCACTTCCCCTGCTCTTCTTCTCGTAAGTTGTAACATACCTTACAGCAATCAAGGTCCCACGAGCCAATAGTGAGCAGTAGTGCAATCCTGTTTACGCCCCCACCCCCAACTAGAAGGGCGCCAGAAAATCCTAGCCGCCCATGTCTACCCAGCCTGAAACAGGGAAAAGCAACCGATGAGTGACTGAGAGAAAGAATGGAAAATTATTAATATTGAATCCGAAACAAGTGCTATCTAAAGCTATGTGATCATCTGTCGTGATTTCCTCCAAAAAGTGCAGAGAAAACTGAAGTGAGAGAGAGAGAACCAGCTCTCCCTCTCCGATCGAAGGGGACCGTCAGCCCATAATTACAATACATACATACTGGTCTCATACGCAGCACCGCCCGGACTCAGCCACATTAGCGCAGCCCTACAGGACCCAGTTACCGCCAGGCACCAGCCACGACAGTTCCTGCTATGATTGATTTAGGGAGTTTGTCCTGGAACAACTGTCGGACAACCCCTTCAGCGGTCGGGGCCAGCACTGTCTGCCTACCAATCACCGCCCTGGTGTTCGGGGTTGCGCCCCACTGCCATCGCCCGTGGGCGATGGCTCAGGGAATGAAAGGTTAGTTGTCAGCCAACCGTCGTCGGCTGGCCGAAGGATCGCCGCCATCATTGGCAGGAGGGCTGCCCTGCAGTTCCACTGCATGCCCCAGCGCTCATGAGACCCCTAAAATTGCGCCCAATCACTGCGCCCAACTTCGTGGCAGTCGGGTGCCGGCACAAAGCCACGCCCCGGCGTCACCGCCTACCTGCACCGCCTACCTTACGGTCACCGCCCGTGGCATCTTCGAGCAGGGTCCCTGCGTATCTTAGTATCCTTTAGCAAGAGTAGGCTGCAGTTACCAAAATAGGTCCTGCAAAGTTGGCAGTGGTCTTCCCCATCATACCCTAGTCCCGAGGCTTGTACTCGGGGGGACCGTGGCTCTCATGCACGACGTGCATTAAATCAATATATTTCACGAATCTGAGACTGGCTGATTGACTGCTCATCATCACACATTATGTCGTAGCGCCCATCAGGGGCATCACCAGGTCGACTTGGTCGGCCCTCTGGAGTCCGAAGAATGAAGAGAAGAGAAGATAGAAGATAGAAGAATCACTGAAAGAAAAGAAGAAGAAGAAGGGGCAAAAATGAGAAAAAATGGTAGGAGAAGAATTAGAAGAGGAAAGATTAGGAACAGGAAAAAGGAAATGAGAATAGAGAAACTGAGAAGAAAAGAAAAGCCAGTGAGAATTTATCACACGAAATAGAGGCGAAAAGTGCAATGTGAAGAATATGGAAACAGTCCCAAAAGAAATCAAGGTTCAAGATGTATAGTATCAACAAGAAACCCATGAGTAACCAAAGATCTAGTCTCAAGCCCCTCAGGGGAGGTAAATGAGAAAGCGATCAGCCGCTGGGCTGAGGTTTATACAATCACACATACGAATCGATCTCAGGTGGTAACGTCTGAGAATCGAAGTAACAAGGAGCAGCATCCATCGATGGGTCCATGACCATCGTCGGCATCGCAGTGAAGGACTCAAATCCGTTCACTAATGTCGAGTCCATACCCTGGGAAGAGATGTCTTCGACCGACGTCTGTGGCAATCCAGAGAACGCAATGTCCTCGGAGGCCGCAGGCGGAGCAGCCGCCATGTCATCGCCTAGCGCATCCTGGTCAATATAGTTCTGGGCATTTTCGAGGACGATCTCCTCTTTCTGCACCATCCAATGCTTCAGGACATCCATGGGAGGATGATTTCCACCGCCCTTGCCGCCGCGCTTCTCGCTGTCTTTGCCACGACCACCACGGCCTCTTTGGCACGGGTTGAAGTGGGTGCGACGAAGATGAGCGGCAGCGTTGTAGTTAGCACCGTATCTTTTGCCATTCCGACAAGCCTTGCAGTTGGCCAGGAATGTCTTGCCAGGAGAGATGTCAACACAAACCCAAACCTTGCGAACAACGGCATGGACCCGCTCAATGTGTCGACGCAGCTCGTGCTCTCCGTGAAAGCCATCCGGCTGGTCGTTGCACATATTACAATACGTCTTCGGACGTGGGGGCCGTTGTATCGAGGCCTTGGGAATGGCTGCAACCTCTTTGGCAGTACCATCCGATGATGAAATGCGAATCATCTTGTGCTGCTCAGCCACCTTGGGGGGTGAGCTGCTGTGTGGCTCGGCTTTAGGAGCAATGGGTCGAGTACCCTGAACGATCTGTTCTTGGGTCCTGCGAGCCGCCCTCGATGGCTGGGAGAGAGACGAGCTGTCGCTCTCGACAGACATAGAAGGCCTCATCTCCGTCGCAGTGGACGGAGAAAGTGTAGGAATGGGTGGATGGAAGGATGTGGAGGATGGAGCGGAGCAAGAAAATGACATCGAGCCAGAGGGCTCAGTGAAGGGGAGGGGGACTTCGGGGTTTGGGTGTCGGTGCATAGACGAGAAAGAAGCAGGGAAGGGGACGTTCATGGGGGAGCTGGAGGTGACGAATTCAGAGGGGACGGAAAATGAGAAATTGGAGTCTAGATTCGGTCCCGAGGAATCGAATCTCATCATTCCCAAACCTCCGCACAGCGAGTCCGTAGTGGTACTCCTGCTCATTTCCACGGCAGCCGGCTGGACCGGCTGCTCGACCATGGTGGGGTTGGACATGGCAGTGAAGTTCGTCGCCATCAGGTCAGGCTGGCCCTGATTTAACTGGGGTTCTTGCCGAAGTCCAGACATCGTCGAATCCGCAGAAAGCGCCATAGAAAGTGCCGAGACGTGTCCCTGGCCCTGGAAATCATCCAAGTACTGTTTGGCGTATTCGGAGGGCGTGTACTCGTTGACATGGTCAAGGCGGCGCTGCACACGCTGGGGTCCATAGGAGTGTCGAAAGCCCGTTGCAGGGGTTGTCAGCGACGGACGGTGAGCGACCGGTATTTGCTGACTCTGCGAGCGGACCATAGCCGTGTGCCGGGAGGAGGGCCCAGGACCAGAGTAAGAGACCGAGCTGCCTTTCCGAGAATTCGTTCTTGAAAGGCGTCGAGTAGTCTCAGGAGCCGCCGGCGAGGACGCATGAGACAGTTCGCGCGTCAGATCAACGGTCACTGGAGGTTCCGGAGTCTGCCAAGTGTCAATCCAAGGACTGTTGGCGGGAGATGACAGAAGAGAAGAAGATCATGGAATAGCGCAGGAGGGACAGAATGGGTAAAAACGCAGGTATGGAGGAGAGGCGGGAGCAGAAGACCAAGATAGATCACATACGGTGACTCGTCGTTTCGGTGGAGGAAGACCAGAACCAGGTAGGGTCCGGGGGGTATCCTGTCGTAACCGTTTCCCAGATTTCTCGAGAGCCGCGCCGCCATCTTCAGGAAGACCAGAACCGGGAACCGGGCGGTAACTGGACGAGGCGACAGAGGATATGGAAGAAGAGGCCGTGGTGGTCATGAACTGACTTAACCGCTGACTCCAAAGTTCATTTCGCTCTGATTCCGGAAGATGGGAGTGTCGATCCAAGAAAGCGTCCCGATACCCAGAGATGGCCCTTGTGAAGAGTTCGTCGTCGGCCATGGTGCCAGCCATAGTGGGTGAAGAAGTCCTCGCTGAGTGCTGCCTCTTCTCACGTAGGATGAGCGAGGAGGGAGGTGCTGCTATCAGTATCAAAGTGACTTCAGGGGATTGGAGAGGATCTCTAGAGCTAGCGCGATTTAGTATATGTATGACAGGAGAAATCCCTCTTGGTGACTTGCACCTCAGAGCGACCACGAGAGGGGAAGGACTGACTGGAATATAGAGATAGAGAGTAGTAGAGAATAGCCCGATAGACACTGAGATCAACGGGGCAGGCACTGAAGTGTAGAAAGAGGAGTACACGGCAGAAGGAGGTAAGGCCGGTACAGATAAGATAGAAGGGTGGTGAGAGGTAAGATAGTATGGGAAGGGAAAATTGTTGAACGAGATGAGAAATGAGATGAGATGATGAAAAGGGAGGAAGAGAGTAGGTAAGAGAGAGAGAGAGAGAGAGACAGATGGGGGGAGGAGATATATGAAGGCGCGGTGGAGTAAGAGAACAATGGGAAGTGCCAGATGAATGTTGACAAGGAAGATGACGATAACGATAAAGAACGAGGAGGCAGATGAGGTGGGAAGAGGTTATCAATTAAATGGAGCATCCACCATCCCCACACCCGGGTTGGTCGAAAGGTCCGGAGAGGGTCAAGGATGAAACTAAGGTGAGAATGGATTAGGAGGAAAGCAAAAAGCAAGAGGAGGGGAGGGGAGGGGAGGCAGAAAAGAGTAGGGGAGAAAATGGGTAAGGTACGAATGGTGGATGGAACGAGCATGAGCGAACAAAAGATCCGTCAGAAGGAGAAGCAGTAGTTGCAGGTTAGTTTAGGGAGTTCATGGCCCATCGAGAGGTTGAAACTGGGCGGGGATGGAAAGATGGAGGGAGGGATTGGAAGCCTCCCAGATGAGTCCAGACCCTCTTGGGATGGCCAGGATCTGTCGCAACTTTTTTTGGGAGGAGT